TAATTTGATGAACAGAAATCTGATGAATTAAATATCATTATTCATTATTATCAATGTAAAATTGGCGTAAGAGCAATAAGAAATTTTTCGTAGTAATGTAATATTAAAATTGTGATAAATTTCTGCTCATGTATATTCGTAAATATATAAATATGTAAATAGAACAATGTAATTAATGCCAATGCCAATTCTAAGTCCAAATCAAAACAACGGACAACAATCTGCATTTCGATAAAAAATTTTTTAAATGTATATGTAATCTTAGAAATGTAATAATAAGTGATCTTTGTAAAGATACGGAACTGTAAAGATAAATTTTTTTAAAATAGTAAAACCATGTTAAAGTAAATTTTAAACTTTAAAGTTATATTTTTATTTTTTGTCTTCTATAATGTTTCAACGAATAGTTTTCATCGGTGATCTGAAAATTATGCAACTTTTGAAAATGTTCTCTATTTTTCGTTGAGTTGAAAAGCAATAATTGAGCAATAATAATGTATTAACATGGTTTCCCATAAAATTAAATCTTTTGATAATAAATATCATATCAAAAAATATAATTTTTAACGTTTAACATTTTGCAATGCAACATTACACATGTTGTAATGTCATTTATATTTGATCTAACTTTGAATCAGTTTTGAATTATTAAAGCATAATTCACAATAATTTCGTCATAATATGAATCAGGATTCTATTAACTTTTGATTGATATATCAATTCTATTCTATACGAGGAAAAATACATCAGAAAATGTATAGATAAAACGATTTTTAAACGAAAACTTTTGTACTTTACTTTGTGATAATTTGTTACACAAATAGCTTCCAACATGATATATTGGAATAACTGATAGGTGATAATCTCCAATATATATCAGTTCTTGCCTGTTTTACTGCGATATCTCTCCATTGATTTCTATATATACAAATCTTACACAGTTTTGAAATTGTAATATTATTAACGTATGTATTACATAGTATCAATAAATGTGATTATCATCTAAGAAGTGTATAAACAGATTTCAGACAAGGATATACATATATATATATGTTGTGAAAACACTTTTATTACATTATTCAGATTAACTTAATATTTTCAGTATGTTTTCAGTATGTTTTAAAAAAGTAGATAAATTTCATTAAATGTTTGCTTGCTTACGCCTATGGCACTTATGTAAGTGATAGATGACGAGTAAAGTCATCTTTTATAATTTTAAGTATTCACACAATCAAATCTTACATTTAAAACTGTCTTAAGTACAATCTTAAGATATCATAAGTCAGTTACAGAGACGATCTTGAAATAAGAGCCGACTATAAATATATGACTAAACTCTTTAATAACGTATATATATTGAAACAACTTGGTAATGAATTTCTGACAATTTTACAGTCATTTTCGTGAATATTTATGAATATTTATGAATATTTATGAATAAGTACAGGTCCTTTATTGACTTAAAAAAATTTAATAAAAAAAATCTTTGTTCTATGCTGCTAATTATACATATATGATAATTTCTATCTATATATAGATATATGCGCATGATATATTATGTCCGATACGCCACGTCATACATATATTTAAACACAGTCTTACATTATCGCATAGCGAGATACGACATCAGTCTTCAGCGAGTATCAGTCGCGTGTGTAGGTATTGATTGACGTCTGCACTATTACGCTTCACGAATATTCAGTATTCATATTTTTTCGATTTTTCTTTTAAAAAAGTCGTGTGCTAATTATGTATCCATCTGCACTCCGTTCCGTTCTACACCGCACACAACAGAAACTGACTACAACGTGCCAATTACATGTATATGCATCGCGTCTTCAACACTGTACAAGTCCACTGACACAGTTTACAGACGATGAACTTATGACGAAGGAAATGGTCGCTAAACTGGCCAAGCAGGAGATTACTCCGCTCGTACGAAAGATGGAAAAGGAAGGAAAGATAGACGACAACGTGTTGCAAAAGCTATTCAAGAATGGCTTAATGGGTATCCAAACCCCGACGGAATACGGTGGAACGGGAAGCAATTTTATGAGCACGATTATAACCATTGAGGAACTCTCCAAAGTCGACGCGGCAGTATCTGTATGTGTCGATATTCATAACACTTTGGTAAATTCACTTATTCTTAAGGTTGGATCCGAAGAACAAAAGCAAAGGTATCTACCTAGACTGGCCCAGGATTCCTTAAGTAGTTTCTGTCTATCAGAACCTGGTTCGGGATCGGACGCTTTCTCTTTGAAAACTGAAGCAAAGAAAGATGGAGTCGAATACGTGATCAACGGTACGAAAATGTGGATATCGAATTCCGACGTAGCGCAGATTTTCATAATTTTCGCCAATGCGGATCCTGCCGCTGGTTATCGCGGCATCACGGCCTTCCTCGTGGATCGTGATACACCAGGTTTAAAGGTGGATAAGTGTGAGGACAAGATGGGTCTTAAAGCATCAGGTACTTGCATGGTACACTTCGACAACGTTAGGATACCCAAAGACAATCTGTTGGGAAAGTTTGGACATGGATATAAGTACGCGGCTGGATTTCTGAACGAAGGTAGAATCGGTATTGGCGCGCAGATGATTGGTATAGCGCAGGGATGTTTAGACGCGACCATACCGTACACGTTGGAAAGGAAACAATTTGGGCAGGAAATTTTCTCTTTCCAAAGCCTACAGCATCAAATAGCTCAGGCGGTAACGGAATTGGAATGCGCCAGATTGCTCGTTTACAATGCGGCGAGATTGGTGGAAGCTAAAAAGGACGTCGTGAAGGAAGCAGCTATGGCGAAACTTTTCGCGTCCGAAACCGCGTGTCGTATCACTGCAAAGTGCATAGACTTTATGGGAGGTGTCGGCTTTACGACCGATTTTCCTCAAGAAAAATATTATAGAGATGTAAAAATTGGTACTATTTACGAGGGTACAAGCAATATGCAGTTATCGACGATTGCGAAATGTATTCGCAAGGAATATTCATAAATGATGATTAAAAAAAGAATACTTTCTAAAATAATAATTATTTCTTAAATTATTTATACTTATTTCGAGGCCGATAACGGCACGTAGTTTGCAAATGGAAATTATAAAATTTGTACAAGAATATTACTAGATATCAAGATCTATTTTGCTCAAATATCGTTTTCTTCGCTTATTCATGTTATTTATAATATATTCGTCAATTTTTATTTATTAAAGTTTATTAAACATATTATGTGTATTTCATATTTTTTGAGAATTTTTTTATATAATACAGCATATAATATATAATATATATAATTAAAAAAATATTTTTATATACTATCTAAATTAGAAATAAACGTATAATAGTGTAACAAATAAATATGTTTTAAATATTTTTTATTAAATTGTTTAAATAATTTTTAATATTATGTGTATATATGTGTAATCGTATAAGAAAATAAAATTTTGTA